TAGACCAGAGAATTGCTGGATGAGGTCATTTCTATTTTGATGCACAATATAAGCAAACAAAACAAAGTCTTTCCCAGTGTTATGCAGCTTTCCCCTCTTGTGAATGTTCAATAAACAATGACGAGAAAATTGACAGAAAAATTACAGTCAAATGTGGGGAAAGTTGCAGGGATTTTAACTAATATTGCAGGGATTTACTTCAAATTTGTGGGAGGGGGATCTCTCCTAAATGTATGGATATTTGTGGGTGAATTTACTTATTTGTGCAGGGATCCGTTTTCTGGTTTTGTTTTGTTATTTTCAATGCACTGTGCTGATCATTCATGTGCTTACTTACAGTTACTTACTTTCAGTGGGGTCCATTAAATACTGGACATTTACCTCCCCCGGGAGTGAAATTTACCACCGTGTCCGAGGTATTTCTGATCTAAAGCCCTGATCCTGGTAGTTATTTCATGTGGAGAGCCGCATTGACTTCAGGGTGTAAAACATGGATGTTGTGGAATGACCCCAGTGCCTACACTTTTCCTCTGGAATACACTCTCAGAAGATACGTTGGCAATGATCAGTGTCTTCAGACCCCATCACATTAGGTTATAATCAGAATGGTTTTCAAAAAACACAGATTAAGCCTGTATCTGTGCTCCTTGCAAACCATTTTTCAGTAAGCCATTTTCAACTAAACTGTGCTCAGGCAGGGCAGTAAATCATGCAAACAATGGTAATCAGGTTTAGGCTCTGTGTATCAGCCGTAAACTGTCTTAGACATCGCTTCACCTAACTCGATCTTCGTGGGGCTCCAAGAGGGCACAGGAGTGAACCTTCATGGAACAAGTTTCAGGACTGAGGCTTAAGTCTATGGACCACTGCAAATACTTTGGTCAAGGGCCAGATCCTCAGCTGGTATAAATCAGTTCAGCTTCATGTCAGTGTAGCGCAGCTGATTTACACTGGCATCTGATCTGATCCAATGTATGTGACGCTTCCCGGAGATGTGAGGCATCTTACTATCATCTGCCTTTAGTGTGAGGAAGCCTTGTCTGAGCCTGGTGTGGATCATCTCCCCAACTCCACTGGCCATGGGCCACACAAGCACTTCCCTCCAGGCCTACGCCAGTCCTGCTCTCTCTCTCTACTGAGTAGCGATAGACACACTCCAACCCCTGAGCCCTCCAAAGTGGGCCATTGGACACTTGCAGTATTCACAGATTCGCTGCTTCCAAAGAAGCAATACACCCCAGCTTACCAATACCACCTCAGATCACAGCTTGCTTAACACACAGCACTTGGAAGTGTTTATAGTGAAATCAAGTGTATTTAACAAAGAGCAGAGATTCAAGTGATAACAAGTAGAATTAGTGGAAACAGTAACATATAAAATAAAATCATACCACACATTCTAGAATCTAGATTTACTTAATTAGGTATCTCCCTGTCATATAGAACATTGCTTACCCAAAGTCCTTCCAGTATTTTACGGTCAGGTTTGACTGTGATCTTTCATTCATGAGACAAGTTACGCATCTGCTTGCCTTGCTGGTGAGAGATCCAGCGCACTTGTTTGCTCCCCCAGATATATTAGAACAATCCACTACCCTTATTCATAAACGGGATGCCCCCCTGCTAGTGGCTGGGGTTTTCTATTGCTCCTTTCCTGTAGATTTCACACTCTCTCAGCATCTGCCTCAGTATGCAAATAGGCATACCTGGTGAGTCACACAATTCACAATGAGCAGACAGGGAGATAAGCATCTGTTAACTCCAGTCTGAAAGGAACTTATGTCACCGCCTGGTTACCTGCCTTAAGAACATACTTTCCAATGTAGTCACATAACTCCTTAAATATTATCCATACATACATTTTGCAATCACTATGATGACTGGCTCTCGATAGGGACCTCACATACCTTTGATGAATTTTATGCATATATCTGACCCAGGAGATCCCTGTAAAAACCTGTGCATCCTTTGTGCCCTCTGCCAGTTGGCACCAAGGGAGTCTCTGGGTCACAAGATGCCAGCGTGCAGTAACAGTAAATGCTGTGGGGGGTAAAATGTCAGTGGTTTTTTAATGGAGCCCACGGTAAAGCAATAGCTAGGTTGTTAGCTCATCTTTAAGATGGCATTAGACAACACACTGATGGAAAAAGCAGCCCCAGCACGGCATCAGCAAGTATAGGTAGCATCATAGGTGGCCCACACTTGCATACTTGGGGCTTGATTCTCTGCTTGTGTCGTCAAAAATCAAAGTCATATCCTCCACTGACTTTAGCAGAGCAGCACTGATTCACACATGCTGAGGTTGTGGCCCTGCCAGATCAAAATGATCAAAATTTTTAACTCACAGCACATCGGTATAAATGTCTACCTAAAGTACAAGGGGGATGAATCAAGCCTTTTGCCTTTCACTCTTCAGGTCTGCAAAGAAAGCCCCTTGTCATTTTTAAGCCATTTTAAGAGAGATTTAATAACCTAAGACCCCGTCTACTCTTCCAGGGAAACCAAGAGAGGCATAACAATTACTAACAGGGTTTCAAGCCACTGTTTCCTTATATAGTCTTCAGCACAGTTAGGTTGGTTGGTGTGGAGGGAGAATAGCAGTGTGTTTTCCAATTCATTTTTAAATAAATACCAATTGAAACTTTTAATCATGTTAGTAACTGCTACACAGGGCCTGAAAGTGATTAACATTGTTTGTATGATTTACTGTCCTGCCTGAACATAGTTTGACTGAAAATGGCTTACTGAAAAATGGTTTATGTGTAGCATGGATGGGGCTTAATCCATGTTTTTGAAAACCATTCTGACTACAGCCTAATACGTACAGGGCCAAAGATAATTGCCAAGATATCTGCTGTGAATTTGTTTTCAGGGAAAATGTCTAGGTCTTGATGTCAGTTCATGTAGCAGCTACAGGAGAGTACAGACTGAGTCTTTTACTAAGGATATGTCTACACTACAAAATTAGGTCGAATTTATAGAAGTTGATTTTTTAGGAAGCAATTTTATACAGTCAATTGTGTGTGTCCCCACTAAGCACATTAAGTCGTTGGAGTGCGTCCACAGTACCGTGGCTTGCATCGACTTTCGGAGCGTTGCACTGTGGGTAGCTATCCCACAGTTCCCGCAGTCTCCGCCACCTGCTGGAATACTGGATTAAGCGCCCAATGCCTAGTGGGGCAAAAACATTGTCTTGGGTGGTTTTGGGTAAGTCTCCCCTCCCTCCGTGAGAGCAACAGCAGACAATCGTTTCGGGCCTTTTTTCCATATGGATGCCATACTGCTTTCAGCAGATGTTGCAGTAGGACTGCTAACCATAGTCATCAAACCACCACTTCTGCTGCAACTCTGCTCTCCTGCTCTTGTCGCGATAGCTAATTTCTCCATGTTAGCTGTCATGGGCTCCTGCTTCTGCTGCAACTCTGCTCCCCTGCTGTCGTGCATCCACCTCACAGGTCCTCTCATTGTTCTCTATAAATATCTATTCTCGTGGTATCTGTCATCAGCCACCGCTTCTGCTGCAATTCTGCTCTCCTGCAGATACCATACCATGTCAAGCATGGAGCTTGCTCAGATCACCACGGCAGTTATAAGCATTGTAAACACCTCGCGCATTATCCTGCAGAACCTGAACCTGCAAAAGCAGGCGAGGAGGCGACAGCAGCGCGGTGATGAGAGTGATGAGGACATGGACACAGACTTCTCTCAAAGTACAGGCCCCGGCAATTTGGACAGCCTGATGGCAATGGGGCAGGCTCATGCCATAGAACACTGATTCTGGGCCCAAGAAGCAAGCACAGACTGGTGGGACCACATAGTGCTGCAGGTCTGGGATGATTCCCAGTGGCTGCGAAACTTTTGCATGCATAAGGGCACTTTCATGGAACTTTATGACTTGCTGTCCCCTGCCCGAAGTGCAGGAATACCAAGATGAGAGCAGCCCTCACAGTTCACAAGCGAGTGGCGATAGCCCTCTGGAAGCTTGCAATGCCAGACAGCTACCAGTCAGTCGGGAATCAATTTGGAGTGGGCAAATCTACTGTGAGGGCTGCCATGATCCAAGTATCCAACGCAATCACTGAGCTGTTGCTATCAAAGGTAGTGACTCTGGGAAATGTGCAGGTCATAGTGGATGGCTTTGCTGCAATGGGATTCCCTAACTGTGGTGGGGCGATAGATGGAACGCATATCCCTATCTTGGGACCGGACCACCTTTGTAACCAGTACATAATCTGTAAGGGGTACTTTTCAATGATGCTGCAAGCACTGGTGGATCACAAGGGACGTTTCACCAACATCAATGTGGGATGGCCGGGAAAGGTACATGATGCTCCCATCTTCAGGAACTCTGGTCTGTTTCAAAAGCTGCAGGAAGGGACTTACTTTCCAGACCAGAAAATAATCGTTGGGGATGTTGAAATGCCTATAGTTATTCTTGGGGACCCAGCCTACCTCTTAATGCCATGGATCATGAAGCCATACACAGGCAACCTGGACAGTAGTCAGGAGCTGTTCAGCTATAGGCTGAGCAAGTGCAGAATGGTGATAGAATGTGCACTTGGACGTTTAAAAGTGCGCTGGTGCAGTTTAATGACTCAATTAGACCTCAGCGAAACCAATATTCCCATTGTTATTACTGCTTTCTGTGTGCTCCATAATCGCTGCGTGAGTAAGGGGGAGATGTTTTTGGTGTGGTGGGAGGTTGAGAGAAATCACCTGGCTGCCACTTTTGAACAGCGAGACACCAGGGCAATGAGAAGAGCACAGGTAGGTGCGCTGTGCATCAGAGAGACCTTGAAAACCAGTTTCATGGCTGGCCAGGCTACAGTGTGACAGTTCTGTTTTTTTCTGCTTGATGAAAACCCACCCCCTTGGTTCGCTCTACTTCCCTGTAAGCCAACTGCACTCCCCCCTTCGGTCACCGCTTGCAGAGGCAATAAAGTCATTCTTGTTTCAAATTCATGCATTCTTTATTAATTCGTCACACAAATAGGGGGATAACTGCCAAGGTAGCCTGGGAGGGGTGGGGAAGGAGGGAAGCACTGGGTGGGGTGGGGGAAAGAGGGGAGGAGGGAAGGACAAGACCACACTGCACTTCAAAACTTATTAAATGGCAGCCTTCTGTTGCTTGGGCAGTCCTCTGGGGTGGAGTGGTTGGCTGCCTGGAGCCCCTTACCCTCCTCCCACCCCGCATTCTTGGGTGTCTGGGCGAGGAGGCTATGGAACTTGGGGAGGAGGGCGGTTGGTTACACAGGGGCTGCAGCGGTGATCTGTGCTCCTGCTGCCTTTCCTGCAGCTCAGCCATATGCCGGAGCATATCAGTTTGATCCTCCAGTAACCTCAGCATTGCATCCTGCCTCCTCTCATCATGCTGCCACCACCTATCATCTTGATCCCACCACCTCTCCTCTTGCTCCTGCCACCTCTCCTCTCCTGCGTCCCTCTTGTCCTCACATTCATTTTGTGCTTTCCTGGACTCTGACATTGCTTGCCTCCATGCATTCTGCTGAGCTCTTTCAGTGCGGGAGGACTGCATGAGCTCAGAGAACATTTCATTGCAAGTGCGTTTTTTTCACCTTCTTCTCTGCGCTAGCCTCTGGGACGGAGATGATAGGGGGAGCGTTGAAACATTTGCAGCTGCGGGAGGAAAAAAAGGGAGAGTAGTATTTAAAAAGACACATTTTAGAGAACAATGGGTAGACTTTTTCATGGTGAACTAAGCTGTTAACATTACATAGCACATGTGCTTTCAGTACAACATTGCCCACACCACACACCCAATTCTCTGGGATGATCGCTTCACCCCTCCCCCAACTGCGTGGCTAACAGCGGGGATGATTTCTTTTCAGCCACAGGCAAACAGCCCAGCAGGAACGGCCACCTCTGAATGTCCCCTTAATAAAATTCCCCTATTTCAACCAGGTGACCATGAATGATAGCACTCTTCTGAGGATAACACAGAGAGGTAAAGAACGGGTGTTACTTGAATGCTAGCTGACACCGGGACCATGTGCTGCCATGATTTGTTATGCAATGATTCCAGACTATGTGCCACTGGCCTGGTGTGCTAAAGTGTCCTACCATGGAGGAAGGAATCAGGCTGCCCTCCCCAGAAACCTTTTGAAAAGGCTTTGGGAGTACCTCCAGGAGAGCCTCATTGAGATGTCTCTGGAGGATTTCCGCTCCATCCTCAGACACATTAACAGACTTTTCCAGTAGCTGTACTGGCCGTGAATGTATCCCAGTTTTCAGGGCAAATTAATAATTAAACATGATTGCTTTTAAACCATGTATTGTATTTACAAACGTACACTACCAGAGATGCCTTCTCCGCCTTCAAGGACTGGGAGCCCGCCTTGGGAGGGTTGGGAGGGTACTGGCTCCAGGGTGATAAACAATTCCTGGCTGTCAGGGACAATGGTTTCATCCTCCTGCTCATCATCATCTTCCTCGTCCCCAAAATCCGCATCCCTTTTGCATGAGACTCCCCCCCTTGCAGGAGTCCACGTACTGGGGTGGGGTAGTGGTAGGGGCACCACCTAGAATTGCATGCAGCTCATCATAGAAGCAGCATATCAGGGGGGGTCTCACCCGGAGCCGCCGGTTGCCTCTTTGGATTTTTGATAGGCTTGCCTGAGCTCCTTAAGTTTCACGCGGCACTGCTGCGGGTCCCTGTTATAGCCTCTGTCCTTCATGTCCTTGGAGATTTTTTCAAATATTTTGGCATTTCTTCTTTTGGAACGGAGTTCTGATAGCATGGATTCATCTCCCCATACAGTAATCAGATCCCGTACCTCCTGTTCGGTCCATGCTGGAGCTCTTTTGCAATTCTGGGACTGCATGGTCACCTGTGCTGATGAGCTCCGCATGGTCACCTCTGCTGATGACCTCACCACACTGGCCAAACAGGAAATGAAATTCAAAAGTTCCTGGTGCTTTTCCTGTGTACCTGGCTAGTGCATCTGAGTTGAAAGTGCTGTCCAGAGCCGTCACAATGGAGCACTCTGGGATAGCTCCTGAAGGCCAATACTGTTGAATTGCGTCCACACTACCCCAAATTTGACCTGGCAATGATGATTTCAGTGCTAATCCCCTCATCGGGGAGGAGTACAGAAATCAATTTTAAGAGCCCTTTAAGTCAACAAAAATGGCTTCGCCATGTGGACGGGTCCAGGGTTAAATCGATCTAACGCTGCTAAATTCGACCTAAACTCGTAGTGTAGACCAGGGCTAAGAGAAGTTTCTAGAATCCTGGGGTAGAGAGACACTGTCAAATGCCTTTCAGCCCAAATAGTAGGACAGGGAAGTCCTGCTTTGGAAAATATAAGCACACAGAGCCAAACCTGAGCATGGGAAGGGGAGTGGGGGACGCATGATGAAGAACACAGAGATAACAGGATCCCCAGAAAACTCACATCAAGAAGTTTGCTGCCCTTATTCTGATGCTCTCTAAAACCGACATGGATGTAGAGGTAAAAGTAAGCCGGTACGGCGTACCAGCAAGAGCCAGTACGCTGTGCCGGACTGGACTGGCTTCCCCAGGCTGGCGACTGAAAGGGCCTGGGGCTCCCTGCAGTGGCTAGAGCCCCGGGCCCTTTAAAGAGCTGCACAAGCCCCGCTGCCGGAGACCCGGGGTAGCAGTGGCAGGGCTCCGGGGGTGATTTTCAGGCATATATTTTAATATACCACATTCAGCTAAGAAGAATGGACAAGAGGGAACAAATGTTAAATTGGACACTGTCACCCAAGCTGGGTTATTGGAGAAGATGGCATTAATAAGCCATGGAGGGCCTATATTTATTAATGATATAAAAGGAAATTGTTTTACACCTCTGTATTCAGCATTAGGGCCCCATTCAAGAAGATGTATTACTGAGGATAGCATTTAAGCCGTTGCTTAACTTTAAGCACATGCTTCAGTGCTGTCCTCAGTCGGGATGGACTTAAGCAGCTACTTAAGTTCTTTCCTGAACTGGGGTTTCGGTGTCAGAAGAGGGTGATTGGATATTTTTCCTGGTGCAGCAGAACTTTAGTTCACTTTTCACCTTTTTAGATGGTCTGTTTATTTTCACTGAGCTCTGGCTTGAGTTCCTGTGTTTTGGCAACAACAGATTGACTGTTACTCGGTTTATTCCCCCCCCCCCCCCGCCTCTGAAACAAAGTTTGTTTTTCTGTACTTTCTGTGTTCAGATCTGAGGGAGTAAAATAAAAGAGGAGTCACTCACAGAGTTAGCCACCGGTGATCACTAAATATGTCTGCTCTGTTGAAAATAAGGCAGCCCACTAAAAATGTTAAAGTTATTACCAAAAAAATTATTTTTGTTATTCCTAAAGGGAGTCTGCCGTTTAACTGATGCCCCTGGAACCCAGCTGGAATGTTAGATGAAAGCCAAAGGCCCCCCACAAATGTATCAACAGAGAAAAACTTCTCACAGCAAGAACTTCTAAAAATTAGAACTCAAAAATAATATCCTTTAAAAAGAAAACCGCTCCTAAGAAAACAGAAAATGAAGAAATTAGAGACACAATAGGGAATGACCATGGTACTAAGGGTGTGATGAGACTGTCAAGTAAAATTAGAGAACACAAAGCACTGAAAGTTTTCTACATATAAATAAGCACGCACACATTTTGTTCTGATCAACCCAAAGCTTGCCTCAGAGTTACCAGCAGAGTTTTCAAATTAAACACAGAAGTCCTCAGACCACTGTGCTCCAACTTAATTGCCTTCTTGCAATCTGTTTTCTCGCACGCAGAAGGAAATGCTCCAATATTTTCTATGTCCCTTCCTCTCTGCAAAGTACTAAGAAATAATTAAAGGAAACAACAGAGAGAAGAATGAGGGCAAGTTCAAATTGTGAAGAGGGGATCAAACATTTTTACTTAAAAAAAATCCAACAGGTTGTGCTGCTGAGGTTATCCATCTGGGGTCAACCCCTCCTCGGTCTCTTTTGGCTGGGTTCTCACCACTGTGCAGATTTAACAGCAGCTGAGCCTCTGTCCCATTGATTTCAGTAGGACTTCTCACCTTATTAAGGTGAGCAGAGATTGGCTTTGTAAGAATGGAAGGATCTGGACAACTAAATATTTTTTTTAATTAAGTGAATATAATGAGACTGCAAGGCTCTAGACTGACAGACCTGGAGAGTGAAGTGCTCTATACGTAGAACAGGAACAGCATCCATGGGAGTTATTCTAGGTTCTCCAAAAAGAAAAGGAGTACTTGTGGCACCTTAGAGACTAACCAATTTATTTGAGCATAAGCTTTCGTGAGCTACAGCTCATTTCATCGGATGCATACTGTGGAAAGTGTAGAAGATCTTTTTATATACACATAAAGCATGGGAGGAGGGGGTATTTTTTTATGCTTTGTGTGTATATAAAAAGATCTTCTACACTTTCCACAGTATGCATCTGATGAAGTGAGCTGTAGCTCACGAAAGCTTATGCTCAAATAAATTGGTTAGTCTCTAAGGTGCCACAAGTACTCCTTTTCTTTTTGCGAATACAGATTAACACGGCTGTTACTCTGAAACCTGTCATTATGCAAGGCTCTAGGTTCTCCATACTGCTTAGCCAATATGCCCCAGCCCACGTCTGGAGTGGTTATCTCTATGGGTGGGAATGTGTAATGCCACCTTTGTGTTCTTTCACTCATAGGCCTCTCTGATGAGACACCTGACAAAAGTGTTAGGTGGTACCAATGGTGCGAATTATGTTTCTATCCACAAAAAGGAAAACATGTAACATGAGTCTCAAAAAACCTTTATTTTAATTTAAAGCAAACAAAAGTAAAGTTTCTAAGAGAGGACTGGTTTCAGAGTAGCAGCCGTGTTAGTCTGTATTCGCAAAAAGAAAAGGAGGACTTGTGTGCAACTCTCCTGTACTGGCTGCAGTGATACTTTGAATAAAATGGATGCCATATCTGCAGAAAGCCAGAGTCTTTAGGAATGTAAAGTTTCAGGCTACATACACCACACTGTAATGGTGGCTTTTGTGATGTGGATAGTTGTCCACCGAGAAATGTAATGAGACCATTTCACACCAGTCGTGGAACAGTCTTCAAACTGTAGTGACATTTCTTTATTCAGCTAATTGGACTGGTGACCTAGTACTGAAAATATCCACAATCCACTAGTTATAGTACTTTGAGTTGTCCTTTCTCCAGTGTCTGGATCACTAGAATTTAACGTTCACCACCACACCCCTGTACAGCTCTGAAAAACTAAACATACTTCAGCATAAAATAAGTAAATATTCCTCTTAAGTTATATTTGTTTTTCAGTAGCCATATTTGTAATTCTTCACTATCTTAGCCTGAGTCCCCACACTTCAAATGTAGCCAAGAAATTAATGTGGAAACTACAAATAGGGGAACAGCTAACTCATTATGATTGTTCTGTTTTTTTATGGTGATTTTAAATATCTAAGACATGATTGTGCTCTGTGAGAGAGACAGTACCCAAAGACCACAGTAAATCTCTCCATAATGCATAATATGAAGTGTGTACCAGCCCTCTTTTGCACATCTGTACATGTCTGTCCTATATCTTGACAGAGAAAATGCACTGAACTGTAAAATGTCTTCGCTACTAAAAAAAAAAAAATACAGTATTTGTTCAGCAACTCCCCCTAGG